CCAATTTGCATTTGGATGGCAAGTGCTTTCTCGTAATATTCTTTAGCCTTCTGATATTCACCGAGTGATTTTAACATAATTCCCAGAGAACTGTAACCATTGGCTTCCTCTAACCTTTCTCCAATTGCCTTCGTGTTTCCTATTGCGATTTCATACTGTTTTCTTGCGTCTTCAAACCTTCTTTGCTTGCGAAGTATTTTTGCCAGTTTAAACCTTACTTGCCCCTCTGACTTTTGGTCTCCGGAATCATGGAGTGCGAAAAGAAGTTTTCTAGCGCATCTTTCTGCTTTTGCGTAATCAGAGATGTTGATATATGCGGACATCATTATTGCATCGATGAAAATGATAGATTGTATACTGAATTGATCTTCTTCCCCCAATGCTATGCTGTTTAGCAAAACTAAACATTCCTTGCATAACTCGATCGCTTGTAGATCACGTTTGGTCTTCTGCATGAATTTAGCAACAGAACTACCTATACGGATGGTTTGTTTGAATTTTGCCCTCTTGTTCATTATGGCTCCCTCGTGTAAGTTTTGGAGGATCCTCTCTAAAATTAGAGAATTTTGAAAAACTATTCAGTTGCAAAATTTTTGAGAATTCAACATTCATGTCAATTTTGAACATATACAAAAACCTCATCAATTAAACATTTATTATTCTTAAGCCATAAAAAATTTGATATACATTTTTATGACTGAACAACAGAAATACCAGTAACATTGTCACGTTTTAAAGTTTTTCTGTACTCGTTTATTGGATGTGTAGTAGCATTACATTCTGTCCAATTTGGAAAAAATTCGACGAGGCCTTAAGCCGAGTCCAATTTGACTGTCAGAGGAATTTTTTTAATCCAATTATGTTCTCTGCAATCGTGTTGCAATGTGGCTGGCGAATCATCATCGAAAGTTTAGGGCTTTACAAATCAATGGATTCCCCTTCTATTGATTCCTTTTTCTTCTGAATCCAGGCAGTTCATGCAATTCCAAGCATTATAGTTCACTTGTTAGTGTGACTGTTATCGATAACAGAAATCGGGCGCGAATTGAAGGCTTTTAAAAGGTACCAAATGGAAGTATATAACGTAAGATGGCAACGCCATTGAAAACACTATTAGGATTTCTTTGGTATGTATTGCAATGCTGCTCCCAGGAGTCATTAGTTTGGGTTGTAACATCCTTTGAAAACATACTAGCATTTCTTTAGTACGTCACACAGCACTGCCCCCTGGAGTTATTATTTTGGGGTGTAACGTCCATACCGGACAGAATATGAAAAACATAACAAGTCCAAAAAATTTCTTACCATCAAAATTCTTTGCACCTTCCTTGTCACATCACGTTCTGTGGAAATGCAAACAAGTAAACATTAGCTACACAGATTTATGGGTGTAAATTCGTAGTAAATGTCCTGATCGTGTGACTGAATGAAACCCGGATGGCGAGAAACTAAAATTAAATTTTTTACGTGAGTCAAGATCAAACTACGTAATAGCGTCGTTGATAACTCAAGAAAATCTAGATCAGGTAAAGACTCATATGGAGTCGATTAATGTTTTTCGCCCATAAACAGGGTCTCTATGAGGGTTGTCACGTAACTCACGTAGACGGTTTACGGTTAAAAATAAGGCCTTTTGACGATTGACGGTTAAATTTTAGATCATTTGACGGTTGATGGTTATTTCATTGGAATGTCGTTTCTAAAACGAACTAGACGCGCGAATTTGGCTGTAATTTTTTCTAATGACGCATTTGTAAAGGACTGTCCGGTTGATGACTCCTATTTTTAATAAATAACTAACGTTTTACCACACCGGAAGTGTTGCACAGCGGAGTTGTTTCCACACAGGACGTCAGTTCTGTCGCTGAACAGTTTTACTCGCGACTATAGTTAATGAACCTACATGAATTTTTTTTTGTGATACATTAAAACTTATATTTATATACAACAGAACTTTACCCCAATCATGGCAATCGTTTAGTTTTTGATTAAGGATATTTCTTTCAATCAATATGAGGCATTAGCTCACAGAAACCACTTGCGTGACAACGGTGACATCGAGCGCTCATTTTGTAACAACTTGATCGACATGCTATAAAATCACGTTGCGTGACAAATTCAGAGAAATTGTTGGCAGAATGAAACAAAACAACTGGCACATAAAAAGCATAGTCCTCAATTCCTTTTTAGAAAAACCCTTTGAATCTGATTCTGACGCCGTCTTTCGTCCATTTTTGCGACCACGTGATAAAGGCGGCGTGGAATAAACATCTCGTGCTTATGTCACGTGCCACTTAGCATTCTGACAAGCTGTTGAAATATTTTTGAAAATCTTGAAATTATTCAAGGTATTGTGTAAAATTAGGCCAAACGGTTTTAATTCATTTGGCTTTCTAGATTTGATCTCTAATATTCCTTTTACGAAAGTCGCTTTGAAGCTAGCTCGGAGACTGCGATATACTAGCAATCACTACGTAGTTTGTTTTAAGATGTCTGGTTCCGTCCGACAAACCTTTGAAGCTCCTCCAAAACTTTTCGAACTTGAAGGAATCAAATCACACCACTGGAAAACGAAAACAGGTGACTATGGGCTACACAGAACTA